AACCTCACCACTAGGCTTGAAAGACGGCTCTGACAGTTTTACAGTGGTTGACAACTGTAGTCAGCTTAGATTCATTTCTAAGACAGTCATGGCAAAAAGATGTCAAGAATCATCAAAATGTCCTTAGAAATGTTTCAAAGGCTTCTCATTTCTCTGCCGTCAATCTTTATGCTCGACACGTTGTATAAGCTTCCACAAAAACATATTTTTGCATTGTAAGAAGTGATGTAGTTAACATGAGTAAGTTAACTTAGCTATGCAATGTAGATTTTTAATAATTTCTACTAAGACTTTTTAAATGTAATTGTATATGCATATTTAAAAATCTCCTTTTCTTTTTCTTTCACAGATATCAGTGTTACGGATTCTCCCGGTTCCTTCGTCACCTAGCCAGGACCCCCCCAGGACCCCCCTCCCGAGCCCGCTCAGCAGCCCGGGCCGGACCGGTGCCCGCACTCTGGCAGACATCAAAGCCAAAGCTCGGCTCGCCCGAGTGCAGCGAGCAGCGGCGGCCGCAGTATCGTCTGCATCCAGGGGGGCGGTGCCAGGCCCGGGGCCGGGGGGGGGCAGTGAGGATCGAACACAGCCGTCACCCAGCCCCTCCCCAACTTCCCCTCAGGCACCGACCTGCATACCAGCCCCCAGTCAGACCAGTGCACCTCCCTCTCACCCACTGGACTCTTTTACTCTGCTAAGCCCAAACCGTTCTCCACCATCCTCTGTAAGCAACACTGATGAAAAACTTAAAGGCCATCCTGCCAGTTCTGTCAGTGCAGGACCCGGGAGTGATCAGATAAATCCCACTACACCATCACAGGAAACCCCGTCACCTGCTGCATCTTCAACCAAGAACAGCTCCTGTATCCCTGCAAACAACCCGCTGGTCACTCAGCTCCTGCAGGGCAGAGACGTTCCCCTGGAGCAGATCCTCCCAAAACCGCTCTGCAAGTCTGAGGTGAAGACGCCAAGCGTACCCTCGGGCAGTAAGGGGAAGACGCTACACTCTGCAGAGCACAGGGCTGATAAACAGATGTCCCAGCCGTTCAGTACAACAGGACGAACAGGAGTTTTCTCAGAGTACACGAGACTTGGGGAGCTTCCTGATAAGGAGACTCAGGAGCAGATCCTGCAGGCTCTGATGCAGAGGAAGGCTCCGCCCAGCCAGCCTTATGTTGGCATAGGGCCTCAGTATCCTCAGTACAGAGTTCATCAGCTGGTGCACGCAGAGGAGCGTCAGGACCAATCCAGGATTTCTGTAGGGTTTCTGGGTCGTAGGAAGATGCCGAGGCCTGCCATGATGGGACATTACCTGCTCAATGTGTCCACATACGGCCGAGGACCAGAAGGCAGGAGACTGCAGCAGTCTGTCATCCCTAACACGTCTGTGTCCGGTTTAAAAAGGGAGAGCACAGATGGAGAGGAGGCGGCTAAAGGAGAAGAACCAGCCAGGAAGTGTTTCTTTCCGGCTTCTGGAGTTAAAACAGAGCAGCACGGATTCTCTATAACCAAGTCTGACGAAGCAGCAAGCGTTCAACACTGCTCTGATGTAAAGACTGAGCCGGGATCAGACCCCAGTGCAGCCGCCAAAGACGCCAGCCCTTTTTCTCAATCACACCGAAGGAACCTAGAACTCTGCAATAGTAACCAAGGAAACTCTGAGCCATATTTTTCCCAAGTGGACCCCAGTCACCAGCGGCAGTTTCAAACCCAGCGGACGCTCGATAATCAGGAAGCGTCGTGCTTCGGTGGCACTATCAGCGTGTCTGTACCTCACACCGGCATCGGCTCCTCCACCGTCTCCTCAGAGACCGACGGAGGCGGCGTCATGTCTTTCTCCGTGACCGTCACCACCATACCTGCCGGCCACCAGGGGGAGCCCTCCTCGGAGCAGTCGTTCATCGAGGGCTCCAACATGGAGGACGTGCAGTCTAAGTGCTACTGCAGACTGAAGGCTATGATCATGTGCAAAGGATGTGGAGCCTTTTGCCACGATGACTGCATCGGCCCCTCCAAACTGTGTGTGTCATGTTTAGTCGTACGATGAAATGAATAATAAGTACAAGGGTTTATTTGTATCGAAGCAGGTCATTCAGAATCAATCACTGCTGGTGTGAAGCAACACTCCAGAAAAAAACAACCAGCATGAGTTCGCTGTTGGGAAGGCAAGGATTTACACTGGATGGTCTTTCGTTTCACCAACATCTAAGAAAAGTTGTTTTCGTGCCGTTTTTTGGTAGAAATGTCAATCCGTTTTGATTCAAATCAGTAGTCTCTCAGACGTGCGACGATTATGAAATCTGGCAATGTTTGCACTCGGATAGGATCGGTGCGATATATTTTTTTAAATATATATATTATATATACGTGTAGTTTTTAAAAACAACGAGGGAAAATGAATGTTGCTATTTTTGTAGAACATAATGACTGTTGAATACTGACACTTTTTCTTATTGGGCCTGATCAGTTATGGTTTAAGGCATAAAAAGGGTGCTAATGATAATCATTGCTTGTAGAGTACCTCCTGGCATTTATGCACGCATGGCAGGGAAGTGCAACTCACAGTAACTATTTTATATATAAACTGTACATTTATTACTGAACATACTCAGATATGAAGATTAGAAAAATCCTGTATCGTTTTAGAAATGGAATATAAATAGAATTTTAATGAACTTGTAAGGATTGCACATCAAATCATTTTTGACGAAGCACTTGGATTTATAGAAACTATGTACAGCACTTACATTCAAACATCATTTAACATAAACATGTCTATATGTTCCTTCTGGTAAATTGAGATTCCAGGTTGAAGGTCTAACGTTACTTCCTGCTGTGTGTACCTTCTTCATTTTCTCCCCAAAATAGCCGGTTAGTAGATATATCTCCTGTGAGCGGGGGCTTGATGCTTGTATGTCTCTAATGACAGATCAGCAATGGCAATCAGTAAAGAAAACACTCAAGGCAAGGGGAGAAAATAAGAATCATTTAGTTTTTCCACTGTAAATATCTGCTTATTTACAGTATATATATACAGCACACGTTGCTAGAGTATATCCTGTTAATTACATAATCATTTGTACTGTTGAAAGAGAACAGTACGTTGTTCTTAAACGCTAAAATGCTTTTCCATAAAATGATACAGCATAGCATGCTGTAGTTTCACAAATATTTGGAGGTACAATATGACACCGTTTAACAGGCGGATGAAACACTTAAAATGGCCGTTTTCCAGAGTATTGGGAGAGTTACCCTCAATATGAATGTGGTATTGTCAGCACTAAACAATATTGTATCATGATATATAATATACAATTATGTATGTGTGTGATGTATAAGGACAGCCGCATTACTATTTAAGCGCTTACTTTACTACATATTTAACTGGAAAAAGGCCGGTGTTAAGTATTAAAACTGTTTTTCGGCTGCTCATGATAATTGCAAAGTTAGACGCATCAACTTTGTTTAGAAATGTCCTGGAGGTGCAAAGTAGGCCTGTTTTTAATAGCAATTATTTCTAAGGTAATATGCCAAAGTCACCTTTTTAAAGAAAGTAATATAGTAATCATAAAGTAATATATTTTAATGAATATATTTTATATTAACAAAAATCTATTTGCTAATTGTTTTTGAATCAACAGGGTATTTACTATAATAATAATATATTGGCTGTCCGTGTTTCTTATACTTTGTTTGTGACGGACCACCATGCAGAGAATAACCAAGTATCAGTACTCTGTATGGCCCAGCAACGGTTCTGTTATTGGTCTATATGTTTCCATAGAGATGTTGTCATATGTGTGTGTACCCTTTTAGCTGTCTACGTTTGTGTCATTTTATCATGAAAACAAAAAGAGAATGTTTTTAAAACCACCATTTTTAGGTCAGTGGATGAATTCAAGTCCATTTTTGTAAGTATCTGTTATTAAATTGGGGGTAAAATTGTTTTTAAAACTGTAGGGCTAGAATCAGACGAGGTTTCCACATATTTAGCATTTCACTATAAATGGTACCAGTGTTTGATTCTGTTACAAATTGTATTTATCCCCGATACATATTTAGGTCTTATTTGGTTGAATGTGATGTTTTGTATTTGGGGGGCTGGATTGCACCGCAAAAATAATTAACAAAAACAATCAATCACCCCGAAAGGCAGCTGAAATCTTTGTTAATGAGGACTGAGTCAGGCAGCGGCCCCCTCCCTCACTGAAGTTACCCGTCGTGTGTTTTCAGATGAGCAGTTCATAAAGAAACGCCCGTTATGTGTCATGGGCAATCACCACCATTTTTGAAACGTCAGGTTTATCACTAGGTGAATTTGTTTAATATGTCTGTCAGTTTGTCTCCATTTAAACTCCGGGTGACTGTAATATAGTAATCAGCACTTATAAACAAAGTGTATTTTACCAGAAGTTATAGACTATATGAATAAATAATGAAAAGTATTTTGTCTGAGTTTTCTGTTGCTTGTCTCCCACGATGAACTCTATGGAAACATTGTTGGCACCGTGGTTCTGGGAGTTCAGTGTTTCACAATAGGAAATGTTTCTTAATCAGCTATACATTTCTGTTTCAACTGCATTATTAAATATCTGTTTCAAAGGCACAGCCATGGCAATATAAATAGAAACATTGGGTGATAACCTATCAACTACCAAGGTCTGTCAACAATCATCCAAACTGATCTTAAATTGAATTATGGGAAATGTAAGATGTAGTGTCAAGTCAGACAACAAGTCAGAATCTCTGTCTCTGCTTTTGTAAAATGTTTTTTGAAATATGTTCTTTTGAATCCACCAACTTCAAGAACGTATTGAAACACTGGAGTCTCCCTTACAATTAGATTGTATCAGTTTCGTCTTTCATCTCCTCTCTATAATGCTGAGGATCATAACTCTGAGTCAAAGCAGCAATGTTAGTAGTGCGTGCGCCTTTAACCAGAGTGCGTGCGCACATGCGTAAAGTGTAGTAGAGTCCGCGCATGGCAGCTCGCGCCCTCCTGCTGCTCTGCCGTCCTCTGCCGCTGGTCTCTGCTGGTGAAGCCGAGCGGAGCGCGGCGCCTCTTCGTTTCTCTGCGCGGATACAACCGCAGTTCGCAAGATTGAAGCCGGATGAGAGAGGAGGAGAGAGAAATATGAAGCTGGGTCACCGGAGCCGCGTCGCATCGCCCGGACAGCTGTAAGGTCGGCGGACACACGCGTGGATTCATCAAAGGTGAGATGTGCGACTGTGGATCACGGAGGAAATATCCTCCTTATTCACCCTGGACTACTTATCATCCACATCTGATGATGATGATGCTCTAAACGCATCCTGCGTGATTTTCCTCGGGTAAAGGCCAGCTTTGCCTCTTATGAATCTGTCGAGACAGCCGTGAGAAATAGATGCAGGATTGCCATTGTTTGTTATGCCAACATTTTTTATGAGCATCACGACACACCGTTCCCATTGCAGAAATAAGGTAAATAGGCAGTTGAATCACCGATATGGCTGCGTTTGTGTCCCTCCGTCGCTTTGAAAGTGAATTGTAAGTGTTGCAGGGATGCTCACCGTGAGGAATGAATGAGGCTTGTAGAAGTGGATGATATCAGCGGAAGGGAGGTACTGCAGTAGCCCAGTCCTTCTGTTGACTCGCGTCAAAGGATGTTGTCATTAGCTCGCAGCTGAAGGTGCGGTTACAGTAAATGCACCTTTACGGGATTATAATGATAACCACACTGTTTTACTGTTTAAAAAAAGGGCTGACATCAACATTTTTGTGAACTAAATATTAAAATGTGTGCAAATAAGAGGACTGAAAATCCCCTGAATGCAGAGCTTTATCACGCTGCTGCTCTGTGAATTCATTTGTCCATGAATTATTAAGAACTTGTCTCTGCTTCCTCATCTAACCTGCAAATGATCAGCTCCTGAAGCTCTTTTATTTGCTGCCATGCACGGCTTTACATTTTTTTCCAAACATGTCCTGCCAATGTAAGGCCTGAGTACTCGTGGATTTCTGCAGTTACTTCACAGGCTGAATATTTACAATGAGCCATCGTGTTGTTTTGCTGACATGTGTCTGTTGGGTCTCCCACTGCATAGCTAATGTGTCTTCCCTTTGCCCCCAGAGTACAGCAGTGCTCCTCTGACACATTAAACCTGAATTACAGTGTGTGCTGCCCCCACGCCATTTAATCTGTAATTAGACTGAGCAAGTGTTTTTAATGGCCTTAAAAAACCTTTAATCCAGACTGAGTTTTTGACAGGATTTGCACTGAGCTAAAAATAGCCATAATATTGTTTCAGAGCAGTGAAAATGCTTCTTCTTTTAGCATATAGCTCTTTATTGCATTGTCTTTCTTAGATTGCAGCCATGATGCAAGTAATTGATTAGATGCACAACGACAAATTATAATTTCAGTTTCTCAAAAGTAAGGATTTTCTCTTTTTCTCTTTCTTGCATCATCGTCAAGTCAATATGTTTTGGATTGTTCTCAAGAAAAAGAAGACACTTAAAGATGTCACCTTGGGCTCTGGTGAGGGATGGTGATGGATGGGTATGAATGTAACTAAAGGCTATTTTCAGTGAATTGTTTTGTCCTTTCAACTGTCAGAAAATAGTGAAAAATGAACTCCCTAGAACCCAAGGGGATGTCCTCAAATGTCTTGGTCAAAACCAAATAACATTAATGACATTGTCCTTACGAAAACACATTTCTCACAAGTGTGAAGCTACAACTAGCACGTCTGTCATTGTTGCTTAATGACCAATAGGATTATATATTTTTGGCCAGAGACTGCCTTTCTTATATGCAGTGTAGAAAGGGGGGGACAGGGGGGATGACATTGCCAAAATACTCCTGCAGGCCGGAGTCGAACCTGCGTACATTGAGTTATTGTCTAGTTGTTGGACTAGTGATGGATTAGCAGTTGTTTGACATTTCGTTGACTTAATCAATAGATAATCATTAGTTGTAAGCCTGAATATCTAATGTTTTTAAAATAGAAATAGAGTAATTCGTGACTGCATTTCAGTGGACGAGGTGTTTTTAAATGATCGTTCTGATGCCTGTAACCCCTGATGAGAACCGGGCAACACGAGCCAGAGGTAGTGACTGGAGAGAGGATCTGTCATACAGCAGGGATCACCGTGAAGACGAGTGTCTCTATAAAAATGCAATGTAAAAAATAAATAGAGAAATCCTGCCTGTAGACTTACTCAGAGCCGCAGAACCTTCCCTTCTCGCTCTGCTGGTTTGTGAACGCCCCCTGGTCAGTGAACGCACCCCTTGTGTACATGCACCGGGGCATGTTGGGGGCTCTCGATCCGAGGCTTCTCCCTCATTGGTCGGCCGTAATGTGCTGTGTGTCCGCGGTCTTTTTTAGGTGCTTCCTCTGCAGCTCTTGCTCGGTGTCATTAGCCCACAGGATGCAGTCACTGTGAGCGGGATGTCACGGAGAATCATCATTTGCACAGACCCACGGGCGCTGGAGTGTTCCCCAGCCAGCTCACCAATATCTACAGGAAGAGAAGGAGGAGGAACAAAAGCACACATGGAGAGTTAATGAAGTCCTTGAAGGAGGGAGCGAGGGGATGTGTTCATTAGTTATTCAGAAGTCAACTACATTTTGTCAGCGAATAATTGCTCAGCTCTCGTGATGATCAAGTCATAAAGACTCCCTCACTAACTGTTTCCAATTTTCTTCACAGGGCCGACGTTAAGGGCTTCTCTCTGTTTGACACTCAGCCAGCGACAGGTAAATCCTAAGTTATATCTTATGAGGTCAAAGACATAGTACATCTGTCCTTTGAAGTTTAAAAAAATAGTGTTTACCAATTTCTTATAACACAAATCTATGCACAAATCTATATATTAATACTACTAATAAATGTCATCATATTATAAGAACTCAAGGTTATAATACTTTCTGTTCAAGAAAAACGTCAACTGGTGAAATGTCTACAACATTAAACACTGTGATGAAGAATTATTGAACTAACAGATTAACACTTATTGAAGAATCGTCGAATGAATATATTATTGAATAAAATAAGGACACCAGTTTGGTTCCAAAGGGAATGTGCCTTCAACAAGTATGAGAGCTATGTTGAAACAGAATCAGACAGGAACAATGAATCCTCTGAGTCAACCCTGAAGTTGAATCAGGTGTCAGAACAAAGTGTGTTTCTGTTATTTCTCCTGAGGAGATATTCTGCCTTGGGGAAAAGATTCATTACTACACGGTGGCATTATAAACATCTTTTATATTATATTCGAGCAGCTGTTTTTATGGCTGAACCCAGATTGTCGACACACTTTAAATGAATTGTATGAACTTAAAAAAAGGAGTTGCAATAACAAAACACTTAACCTCCTAAAACCACATATTGACAGTGTTCTTGTGTTGTTTAGTATATCATGTGATATTCAGCTGAGCCATGCTAGCTACTTTCCCCTATTTAAAGACTTGAAGCTAAGCTAATCTAATCAGCTGCTGTCTGTGGTTTCATATTTAGCATACAGATATAAGAGTGGCATCAATCTTTTCTTCTCACTCCTGGCGATAAGGCAAATTCGTTTTTTGCTAAAATGTTGATCATTTGCTTTATAAAAAAGTCACAGTAAATTGTTTTAGTTGCCACTGACTGAGCACCCCTCACACTGCTGTATAACTGAGCCAAGATAGCTAGAGTCAGTGACATTTTAAATACAAAAATATATAATGTATCTCTAATTTACAGCATCTTCAACTCAATATTCTTCAACTCAAAGTGAAACAATTTGACGGTTCAGTTGTATTATTATGGCAGCTTGTCCGAGTCTTTCAAAGCAATGACATCATTTGTGTAACCCTAAAAAATATTTGAATTTCTTATAATTCTATTAAACGCAGAACCCAAGGCATATTTTGTTACAGTGAAGTGTTTAACCGCAGTGATGACTAATACTGTCCTTCATGTACAGGGTCAATAATAAAGATGAAACATCGTGTCCTGCTGGTACACCAGTGTTCAAGAGCTGAGCGCTCAATACTGGTCACAGAAAGACCATATCGTCTATATTCAAAAGAAGATTATGATATTTAGGTCCTCATTTATGTTCAGTCTTCACACGAAATGATACAGAGTTGTATAACATATTTTCTAATGATATCTATTATTAATAATCTTCACTTGCATTGTTCTGATGGTTTCTGGACGATAAAGAGAGCCGTGTTATTAACAGTAAACATTTCCCGCGCTGCTGTTTGATGTGCCACAGGATGATCGAGGAAGGCAGCAAACGAGGCAAGGCCATGGTGGAGAAGAGACAGCTCTTCATGGAAATGAGTGAGTGGAGTCGACTGAGAGAAATCTCTTTTCACTACTCACAGTCAGCAGCTCATCATGTAATGCTCTCACTGGCTCCAAGTTCCACAAGAGATATTTGCTGCTTCACACGTACAGTAATTCCTCCCACACAGAGACGGTGATAGTGTGAATGTTTCTCCAGTAAGAAACACTTTCATTGTATGTCTTTAAAGGCTTGGAACTGATTTTTCTTAATGCTGTTTTGCAGGAGCTCAAAACTTTGATGTAATCAGACTGTCGACATACAGGACTGCCTGCAAACTCCGGTTTGTGCAGAAGAGATGCAACCGTAAGAGTTTTCCTCTCATTGAATCTCTAGAAATGTTTGTTCCAACTCGAACACAGTCTCAGTGTTTCCGTTTCCCCCTCTCAGTTCATCTGGTGGACGTGTGGAACATGATCGAGGCGTTTCGTGACAACGGCCTCAACACGCTGGACCACAACGCCGAGATCAACGTGGCGCGGCTGGAGACGATCCTGTCCTCCATCTACTACCAGCTCAACAAGCGGCTGCCCACCACCCACCAGATCAACGTGGATCAGTCCATCGGGCTGCTGCTCAACTTCATGGTGGCCACCTACGACAGGTACGAGGCAGAGGAGCGCTGCAGTCTGCAGGCGGAGATCATTGGAAACACTTCTTCTGTTGTTCGGGTATTCATGCAGGAGACATCAAAAGCAGGGCTTAATGTAAACAAGTGTTTCAGGAAGTGAAGGACATGGTTTAACATTTCCAATATTAGAGTAGAAGTTGTCAACTTATGAGCCTGTCACTGGAACTTGTGACCACTTTAAAATAATATCTAAAAAGGTCAAATGTTCTAGTTCTTTACACGAAAAAGCTCAAATTAAAAAGCTAATCAGAAAATCGGATTTCTTCGCAATTTTCTATTTTCTTACCATCTTTTATAAATTGAACGATTAATCCGCAGCCCTAGTCTGAATAAATAACTTCTACAGAACATTCTCAGTTTTACATTTAATTAGTACGAAATTAATAAGTGTTAATCTCCAATCTCCAAACTTTGGTATTTGCAAAACATTTTAAAATTATTAACCATTTCTATAAAGTATTTTTCTCAATACAGCTGTCCACGCTGCAGGTTATTAAATGCTGGGGACAAAATTCCGAATTGTTTTGGAAGTCTTGAATTTAATATGGTAAACGCCAAAACTCTAGAAATCATACACAGCAGTAAGTGGCTTTAGCGTTCCTTAATGGCCCTGATTCTATATTGTACAAATGAGCCATACACATACAAGGGATATCCTTGGAAACCATGTATATGTTCACACAGCAGATACAAAAATAGTCCCTGTCAGCTGAAGTATTCCTGGTGATGTCTTATTGTATATCCCTCCTTGACGTCTGCTCTGAGCTCAAGGCATCCTGTATTATTGACTGTAAAGCTCTCTCATTATTGTTCCCTAGGAGCTCATGCTGATTGGCTGCTGGCCCCGTCCATTCATCGATCCGTTCAATTGGTTTACTTTTATCTGTAAGGTCACTCCGGCCCCGCTCCGTTATCATTCATGCTGCCGTATCTCTGAGAAACCTTGTGGAAATGACTGTCTGTGATCACAGGAAGCCGTTTGGCAATCTGTCCCTGAGGTCCAAACTGAATTAGGCAGAAGAGCTTTCATGTCCTCGGCTACCGCTGCTCGGAAGTCGGGGCCAAATCAAAGTGAAAAATGAAATGTAAGAGCGGCTCTCTCTGGGCAAGTTGAAAAGGTTTCAAGGGGTGTTGAGGCAGCCTTGATAATGAGCTGAATATACCTCGTTAATCTGTTAGTTCATGTTTTCGTCATGATTTTATTACATTTTACACACAATTGAATACAAATCACTTGTTTGTATAATCTGTTTATCGTGACGTACATTTTTCATCTCAAATTTACAATCTCCAAAGAGTTCTCGGGTCACAATAAGATAAAATACTATACTTTTGTCGAGTTAAATAGTCAATAATGAGTTGTATTTCTGTGAAAACATTACATACTCGTTATTAAAGTGAGGCTATGGGACACAACTATCTGGAGGGACACAACAGATGTGCTTATAAATTCCACTTGTCTTTCTCTTTGCAGTGAAAGCCATGGGAAGCTGACCGTTTTCTCAATGAAAGCCATGCTGTCTACAATGTGTGGAGGGAAGATTGTGGACAAACTACGCTGTAAGTGCATTTATATTCCGTACACATACAGTTTCATAAAACATATTTGTGAATAAGCTGCAGTTTTTATATCAGCCCTCTGAAGTCTGACGTCATGGCTGCATCCATGTAGTTTCTCAAATGTAACACACAGGGGCGCTGTAGGAACGTCTATGCTACATTCATTTGCTTTAACTCTGCATATTTTCACTTTATGCTGAGTTTATGGTTGTGGATGAATCCTATACATTCATAAATATGTTTTTAAATGTCAAAAGCCTTTTTTATACTTGTTTTTTTGCATGGATTGGCTACTGTTGTGTTTTGCACTTTTCGCAAAATCTGAGATTTGCTGTCTTTCAGATATTTTCTCACAGATCTCAGACTCAAATGGAGTCATGATGTTTGCAAAGTTTGATCAGTTTCTCCGGGAGGTGCTGAAGCTCCCCACAGCCGTGTTCGAGGGTCCGTCTTTCGGCTACACGGAGCACTCGGTGCGCACATGCTTCCCTCAGCAGGTATGAGGAGCATATTTAAACCACATTCCCACTCTCTTTTCACGCTGTATCTTCGTTCAACTCTCTAATGATGTACACGTCTTGTTTGTATTCATGTTTGTGTGTGTTTGTATCCAGAAGAAGATTATGCTGAACACGTTTTTGGATGTGTTGATGGCAGACCCTCCCCCTCAATGCCTCGTATGGCTACCGCTCATGCACCGACTTGCTAATGTTGAAAATGGTGAGATCTGGACTCTTATATATTTTTAACCACTCCATATTGGGAACCACAGAGGAATTTACAGGTTTTGATTCGATTTTTCTAAATTTGGAGCCAACATTATCTGTCCAGGAATAAACAAATGAAATCTCTGTACATATGTTTTACATTTTCCTTTTATTTTCAGTGCATGGCTGCATCCCAATGGTCCAATGTATGTAGCTAATAATTGATACAAGTTGAAGTAATAATGCACAGATTCATCTATAGTAGCTAGTTACAGCCCTTTGATTAAACAGAGAAGTTTAATAAGGACCCTTCCCCAAGTCATTACCCATCTGGTCTGTATCACTCTAATATCACTAAACTCTAATCATAGTACATCAAAATAGTCCAGGTCCACAAACTCAGACAAACCCTCCAAAGTGCCTTAAAAGTCTTTCGAAACTCTTGAGTAAATGTCACTTTCGACACTGACCAAACCTTTTATTGTCAGACAAGGAAAGGTTTGACAAACTGCCTTACAAATAAATAGAAGATTTAACCAATCAAACCAATCTAATCACACATCTGTCTCAGGGGTTTGACACCCTCTGTGCTTAGACCCATGCAGCGTACAAGCGACAGTAACTCTGTGAGTAAAGATGTCTTCTCTCCAGAGGTGGGAAGTAGTGGAGTACAAATACTTCGTTCTGGTATCAGTACTTTACTCCACAACTTATTTTTCTGACGACTTTTTACTTTTACTTCTTACATGTTGAACACAAATACCTGTACTTTCTACTTCTTACATTTTCTAAACAGGCTGGTTCCTTTAGTTTGAATGTGTGTTTGGTGGCGTGATCATTATTCTTTAGAGTCATTGCGTGCCTATTGATTTGAACACGATCCGTGTATCCATCATTTCCTGGTCTTCTCTAAAGAAGAGGGACCAATGAAAACGTTGTCATGTTGCCGTTGTTCAGCATGGAAACATTCATTAGCTAACAATGACATTATTGTTCTATTAATATAAAGGGAGGTCAGGTACTCTTTAAAGCAGCTGCTAGTTATGGGTACTTTTTACTTAAGTACAATTCAAAGCCCATACTTCTTTACTTGAGTAAAACACGAGTATCTGTACTGATGTGTGTACTTTTGCCATCTCTGCTTCTCTCTGACAGAAAATCTTGTCTTTGTAATTGTTTATTTTTCCCGTCAGTCTTCCATCCGGTGGAATGTTCCTATTGCCGGAGCGAGAGCATGATGGGTTTCCGGTACCGGTGCCAGCAGTGCCACGGCTACCAGCTGTGCCAGAGCTGCTTCTGGCGCGGCCATGCCAACGGTCCCCATAGCAACCAGCACCAGATGAAGGAGCATTCTTCCTGGGTAAGACCCCTGATCACTTTCACCTTCACGTTGTTCCCTTTTCAAAACTATCTCATAGTCAATATCTCTGAGGGTAGAGTATCCAGCCGTCTCTCTACACTTCCTGTCCCGTCAGAGAAATCCATGAGATTTGATGGAGGTTTCACTCATTATGGCAAATGAAATCGTATTGATTGAATTGTCTGCCTTGCCGCATCCCCCCAAAGCGTTTTCATTATTATTTAAATCTGAACAAGGGAAGTCATAGGCACTGGATCCCAAATCCAATTCCCATCAAACTCAGTTTTTGCACAGAAGAGAATGACTCAGGGCTGTGATCACATGTCTGAGTGCACGACACACCGAACACTGTCTGTGATATGAAAACACATTTTGATATTTATCGTGAAGGTTTGGAGCATGCATCTGTTCGGGATGATTTCCTACTTCTGTGACAAATTGGAGTTAACGTCCTAATACCTCTGGGACATGTTTCACCACATTTATAGGTTTTGTGCTGAAAACAGAGAAGGTTTTGGTTTTTGGCAACAATTCAAACCCTTTATCGGATTAGACTACAAGTAAACCTAACATGATTTTCATTAAACAGTTGCTATTTTTTCTAAATGATACCACATGCTACACTGATCATCCTGCCCTAAATGTATTGATTAGTTTGTGTTTTAGTTTTCACTGTTGAACCATTGAGGGTTGAATGACTCTAACCTACCAGAATCGTTTTCAGCATGACAGTAGATGATTTGAAGACTGGTATTCAATATGGAAAGACTTAATATTAAAAGATGAATACTGTCTAAATAATAGTAGTTACAGTATCATCTATCCACTTTTTTCCTTATTATTGTATGTTGTGGTTATGCTGCATTGATGTCATACCAGACATATTTTCCAGTTTTTAACAAATGGAAGTATTTCATGTAGTTACGTTACATTACTTGTCACTTGTTAGACGCTTTTATCCAAAGCGACTTTCATACATTCAATACTGTGGGCAATCCCCACAGGAACAATTTGGGGTGAAGTGTCTTGTCCAAGGACACAGCGGAATGTTTGACTGCGGCGGGATTCGAACCAGTGCCCCTGTGATCCGAAGATCAGCGCTCTACCCAATGAGCCACAACCTCCCATGTAGTCATGCTGCTACACTCAGATGTTCACATGACATGACAGCAGGAGAGCGGACTCATTATGCTGCAGTTCTTGGGCCGCAGGGCAGCCACCAAGACGTCCTGTGAAGTAGCCGATAAGGCACTTACTGAATATGCACAAACTCCTGCTGATCCACACTTTTGGCACAGTAACAAAATGTTGACCTAGTTATGTAAATTCAGTCTGAAGCAGCTTAAAACTGTTTCTACTTTCCCCACACGATGGTGACACATGATGACACGACAAGGTGACAGATACTTGTGTTTTTTCCCGCCCTCCTCACAGAAGTCTCCGGCCAAAAAGCTGAGCCACGCCATCAGTAAATCCCTCGGCTGCGTCCCCATCGGAGAGCCGCCTCATCCTGTGTTCCCCGAGCAGGCGGAGAGACCCCCGGAGCTCACCCACACTGTGTGAGTGTCATTCACACAGCATTTGTTACCACTAGTTGTTTTATTAATGAGCACTGATTTGTTGATTAACTGCACAGCAAGGCCCAGTGTGCTGCTGATCTATTGTCTGCTCTTGTCATGTAACGGCCTCCATATTTCCATCTCGCCGTCACACCATGACTGATATACTGCCACATGGCTCAGATGTCGAGCCCATGATTATTTGCTAACGTGGATATGGTGATATACTGCGCAGGTTCGGCCGCTAACAGCACCCTCGTCCTCATCAGTGAAACGGGGACGATGGTATAAATCTCACACCGCAGGCTTTGGGGCTCCTGGAAGTCATTATAGGAAATGCATTATATTCTGCAGCTGTCTTAAACCCCGCACGCTCATTTACATGTCAGATGAAAAATGGTACGATGTCTATAATCAATTCCCCCGCTGAGATACATCCAGTAGTCCACAACGCTAAGGTCACTGTGTATTTTTCCCATCATCCTTACGCCAATTCAGTTTTTGCCTCCACAAAGACATAACAATCTAATAAAAAAGTGATTTATAATGTTGCCTGTTCGTGGCATTAATAGGATCACAGGAAATCTTCTCATGGCTGATTTCATAACAAAATCCTTCTTCATATTCCAGTCACGACCATACATCTAAGCTGTCTGTATATGGTTTTGCTTCTGGCAAGTGTCAGTGAGTAATTGATAGTGAGCTACATCATTGGGAGAGAAACGAGCGCACTGAATGCCAAGAAAAATATACAACGTAGAAACAACATAAACATGATTTCCTGTTTCTACTGCGAGACAGAAGCCATCATCTCTGAATCAGTGCTCCCATCAAGGCTCTGCCCACTGGCGGAAGCGTTTGTCTGCCTTGTGCCCAAACGTACGCATGTTTTGCATAAATCTACATCAAAACCTGGACAATCAACAGTTTCCCTCCATGTGGGAGATGAGGTGATGGGATTAGACTGCGCGCTATAGGCTGTGTAGCATGAAATGACAGCACAGAAGTAGATTCATATTGATTACAAAAGAAATGTGTGGCTGGAACTAGTTTGGATTATGTCTCTCTGGTGCCCTCAGCAAGCTGCAATCTGTGGCTTTTTGTTGTTGTTTGTTTACGATGTTGATTATGTTATGATGATGGTGGCTGAGATATTGAGTTCTGCCCAGGTGGCGTTCTTGGTTATATTAGATGTTATGGCACAGAAGCCTTAATGAACTCCAGGGTCTTGTTTGACTATTTCATATTGTTAAAAGATATATCAGTTATTTGGAGTGGTAGAAAGTGAATAAATACTTCTACCTTCTACCCATGTGAGTACAATTGAGTCTTTCCTCAGTAGCAAATGCAATGAGGGCATGCACATTGTTGTTTTCCCACACTCACTATGGGCACCTCACATTGCCAGCTAAGCCAATAAGTAAGAACATATGTAATGAGCCACTGACTTTAAATTGCTTTATTTTGTAATGTACATTTTTTTAAATCCCTCATTCCCCTACCAGTAAAAAGGTAGAATATTGAACCTTTAGCTTGTAACAGAATTATCTTAGATTCTCGCACTACTTTATTACAATACATCTTTCACCAATGGTTGATTGAGACAAGTAGCAATCTGTACAGTAGGCCAAACTGACAGGAAAGGCTGCACTCCAGAAGAAAACAATACAAATCCATCTGACGCTTCAGCACCATGGACAGTGCCATGGATTTATCGATACACTGCTAGCTTACTGTGATTTCAGAGCCACGGTGGAGCCCATTGATTCTAACCTGCACAAACCTCAGTCTAGTCCTGACTTATTGATCCGTTATTATACTTCAATCTTTACTCCAACAACCCCTCTACTCTCTCTGATACGAGGGGATGGAGCAGGTGTTGGCAGGTTAACAAGGATGCATTCTTGTGTGCCTACAACAGTGATGAAGTTATCTACTTGTGACGTCTCTTAAACTTTAGGAACATCCTGTCGTTAGGTCCCCCTTTAAGACTTTAATAGACAAAGTGCATTCTCTTGCTCTCACAGATGGCCTTTCCAGTTTGCTGGCGTGTTCACTGACTTTTAGGATAATTGATGTGACTATTGACCCCTGAGACTAGTCTCTGTTGTTTTGTCTGACGCAGGGAAGATTTTTTCACCTGTGTTTGATGATGGAAACTGTCTTTTTATGTTCCCAGATGAATTTACGTTTTTATTTCGGTGTCGTGATAGAGTAGTATAGCTATGAAAATATGTTTTCCAATCCTGACCAACCATTCAAAATATGTATTCATTGGTGACTGCCTTTCTCAATGTAATGCTTAAGTATTTAACTGTGAATGGCTTTGAACTGCAAACCAAAGGCAACATTTTATCAAAAGAAAAGTCTATTTTGCGAACACATGGTGGACAATATCCAGATGTTATAACTTTGGAATATGGCACATTTTTGAGAATATTTAAACTCATATCCGTCTGTTAATAATAATAATAACACATTTGATTTCAAAGCGCTTTTCCAGGTGCTCAAAGACGCTTTACAGGGGTTTGATAAAACATGATAAAATAGAATAAAGAATAGAAATAAAAAATAAATAAATATTAAAACAACAACACAGCATAATTCACACATTTAAAAGCCAGTCTGAAGAGGTGTGTTTTGGTCAGTGTTTTGAAAGTGGGGGGGTCGGTGCAGTCTCTGATGTGTTGTGGAAGGGAGTTCCAGAGGGTGGGGGGCAGCGTTAAATAGGAAGTTACAGCCTGTTATCTCAGCTGGGCATTAAGACTGAAAACAGAGAATCAGCAAGCCTGGCTCTGCCCTAAAGAAACAAAATCCACCTACCAACACCTGTCTTCTTTGATTCATCCACACAAAACACTTGCAGGCATGCCGTCTTATCTCACTTTTAAAAGGTTCTGTCATATGGATGATTTTACCTTCAGACAGGCTAGCCCTTTCCCCTTTTTCAAGTCTTAATGCTAAGTTAAGCTAATCGGTTGCTGGCTGTAGCTTCTTACGTAATGGAAAGATATACGAATGGTGAAGAGTGCTGCAGGAATGAGCCCACTAACCCAGTTTGTATGTTAGCACTTCGGCTTCACGTGTCTCTCAGTCAATGGGTTTTTGATTTTATGCCTGAAATAAGGTCGGTGGGATATTTTAAAACACAACAGTTGTTGAACTTTTAAGCTTTTAAATGTCTCAAAACATGGAGTTAGGTGAATAAACATGATCCCACCAATCCCAAGCTGACGTTTGGTTGGGTCTATGATTTATGCATCCGTGGTGCAGTTAGTTGATTGGCTTACGGTAGCTTTTCCTTCTTGCTGATTGAGTTTATGCCTCAGAAATCATAACAAAGATTTAATACGATTATCTTACTGAACAAAAGTTGTAAGTCTCATAAATGTGTGTTTGCAAAAGAGCCTGTTTTCTGCTCAAATCCAATGGAAAAATCCCATTGGCTATTTTTTGTTGAGTTGTCCTGCAGAAACATGTCATCCCTGCAGCTTCCTCGATTCACCTCTGACTCCGAGACATGAATACAAATGAGCGTAATTCACAAAAGGTTAAACTATTCCTCTAGATCCAACATACCAATTGTAAATCTCACTGCTGCACTCTCTGTAGCCATGAGCCATAAGGAAGAGCTGGCAATAATGGAATTCTTCACACTTGTTAACGGTCGTTTAAGAGAAATGATGGGTGGTGGATAATACAGTATTTGTCCGCCTAACATTCCCATGATGACTCCCCTGCTGGCTACAGAAATCTTGCCTCAAACTGGTTCTTCAGATGATTAGTCACGGGAAAAGGGCCAAGCCCCGAAATGCATTCTGAATTGATTGTTTGAATTGTAGTGAAGAACGGAGAGAGGAATGTGATGTTGGTTTTCTGAAAGTAGAGTGCAGCTAGTCACAATCCTGATGAATGTTGACTGTGAAGAGGTGTCATTTCATGTTGTAAACCAGGAGACGTCCGTCAGCGCAGTCTCTCAGGTGTGTGTGTGTGTGTGTGTGCGTGCGTGCGTGCGTGCGTGCGTGCGTGCGTGCGTGCGTGTGTGTGTGTGTGAGTGTGTGTATGTGTGTGTGTGTGTGTGTGTGTGTGTGTGTGTGTGTGTGTGTGTGTGAGTGCGCGTGCGTGCGTGCGTGCGTGCGTGTGAGGCTGGCGAAGCTGTTGTGAGTGAGTAATAATGGCAGAATTGGGGTATAGCGTCAGGCTTGATCTAAAACTCCCCAAGCTGATCGGACATGAATCTCCAAATCGCCCGACCCCTAGCATTGTCTCCAGACGATGTGTATCTACTCTGAAAGCGTTTGGAAATATTTACTGGCATCTGAGAGCAAAGACTGACAGCGAGCTGAGCTGTGAGTTTTTCCCTCCACTCAAACTGCCAGCGAGTTTCTTGCCGGTGTGTTTTGGAGAGGAGTTATAGGTTTGGGATGCTCTGTCTGTCTCGGGGACTTTAAATCTACGATACAGCTTTCTACCTTCAGACCTCCGCTTCTGCAAAAAGACTTTAAGCACCAAAAGAGTGGAACACTTTACACTATAGTGTCAAATGCTCAGTTCCATAAAAATATGCCACCCTCTATATATTTGGATTTATAGTTTTTGCACAATTTATAATACACTAACATAACGTCTGTGCCTAAGATGCTGTGCCCCAGGTCGGTGGCTTGAAGGACTTTGATTGGACCTTTTTACTTCAAGTTATGTTTCTATAATTATTGATTTATTTAATTCTAATATGGTGGAACTGTCACAAAATGTGGAACTGTCACAAAATGTCTTTCTGGGATTAATAGAGTATTTTTGATTGATTGATAACATACAACAGGAAGTGATTATTGAAAGTAAGTAAAATAATAAAGAAATCCACACTTTTATATAAAATACAACATCAATATACAAACAATAATATCAATTCAATCATAATGAGAAACTTTAAGAACAACTAATAATACAAACATAGATAAATAACTAATTTAAAAAAACAAGAAAGGAAATGTGAAAAGTATATGAGCAGCCTATGTTTGTATGTATAGATAAATGAAAAAAGAGGCTTTTTAGACGAACAGTATTTTGTTGTGTGGGAAAAGTCTTTCCATCATTTTGTACCCATATAATCCCCATAAATCCCCTTACATTAAAGAACGCTTCCATCTGTTCTCAACTACTTTTTCTTATCCATCAATGCCATTAGAATAGAGAGAACAGTGCTTCACTTTCCTGTGAGTGGGATCCATTGGGCTTTGTCTGGCCGGGGCCACTGGGGAAACAAGAGCCAGCAGGAGAGGATGCTTCATGTTTTTGCGCTTTATTTTTAGCCGGCTTGAAAGCGATTGAAAGCAGCCATGCATCCGCCGTTTGTCAGGAATATGGTTTGAGAGTGTGTGCATGGAGCTTCGTCTCCTCCTGTACCCCTGCCAAGTGCCAAGTGCAAGGAAAGGGATGGCACATTGTCATTCACCGCACGCAGGTAGCGCGGGGCTTAGCGCAGTGCAGACTTTGATCTTTTGTATTGCCTAAATGTTGTGTCAACGCACCGTTTGACCTCTGAGGCAGGAGTTCCTCGACTGTGCTTCTTCTCTAATCAGCGTCCCTTCAGTCGGGGATCCGAGGGGCTGCAGACGCTGATGTGAATGAGTTAGGACGCCTGTTAGAATGAATCCAAATCTTGTCGGAAAAAGAAATACTTTTACGTAAGGAGACTTTTTGCCCTACATTTAGACGGGCGTTATAGTGGTGTGCTCGGAGGGGAATGATTATTTATAAAAGCCGCTAAGAGCTTTAATTGATGTAACTTGCTGAAGGTGATCGGAGGAGTTAAGATATGTAAATGTATTATAGTAACATGCACTAAAAAAACAATTTTTCTTTTTGTATTACTTTTAATATAATATACTTTAATATTGTTTTAATATTGTCTGCTTATCTGTATTATTGTGTTGCATTGTTGGAGAAGCCTGTGACCTAAGATTTTCAACGACATAATTACTCTGTAGATATGTTAGTTTGACAATAAAGAACCTTGAACCCCCTTGAACCTTGAACCTCCTTGAACCTTGAATGTAAAGACCTGTTTTCCTTCTGAAGTGATACGAGTACATTTCTTTTTGAAGTTGCAATTGAGCTATTTTGGCATCCCGCTAATTCCCAGTGTATATTCATGTGTTAGAGAGAGAGAGAGGTGAAAATACCGAGTCAGAGCTTCGGAGAGGAGAGAGAGAGAGACATCCGCGGCGTCATGAAGTCATGTGACCGCCGAGTTTCCTTGGAGACAGCAGCAGTGTAGTACATTGAGATGCTCTCTTGCTCAGTTGAGGGCAGATTAGGCATCTGGCAACAGCAGCAGCAGCAGTCGGATGTATTTTGCCAGCCGGGCAGGTGCTTGCTCTCCTCACAGAGGTAAGGGTGATCAAGGGTGTCTGCTGTTCTGTCTGCTGCTCCAGGGGGGATTATTGTAATATAGCAAGAGTTAAATAAGGGGAACCTTTAGTGGAGTATTTGTGGAGGGCAGCATGTGCAGGTTTGAGTAGAGACAGTTGTTATTTTTCCTGTTGTTATACTTTTGCTTAAAATGTAAGAATCAGCAGGATTGTGTTATAATGTAATGTCATTCGGTTCAGTTCACCCGTTAGGCTAGTCCTGAAGGAAATGTAAATGCATGAGGCAATAATAGTTGCAATATGTCTTCAAAGAGAACACGTTAAACCCCCTGAGCATGCACATGAATGCAGGGAATGTGTACTCTTGTTTGTGAACAGCTAACAAATGACTTCAGCACAATTAGTGATCCAGAAATAATGCTGTTTTTCTGCTCTTATTTTTAGTAATATACACACAAAGAAGGAGAGCTGTTGAGGCAGATAGTGACACGGGAGCAGAAAAGCTCTCACTGTCTTGTGCTGATAACAGTAATCTGCAGAATGTGGATTTAAATAGTTAGATTTTTTTGCCATAAATGCTGATTGGACAAATAAGCATAACGAGATGCAATGCGGTTCAGTGCTTTTTGCCTTTTATGTGATCATTAGATACATCTGTTACAATAGAATCAAGGCTGACAACTTCACAGGGATGCGTTGTGCAGATTGAAGAGATGCGACTACAGAGAAATGGAAAGTGTTTTTTCCCCTTGTGGCGGTGAAGTGTGAAGCGGCGATGCGCCTGAGATGTGCAGAGTGATATTTCTGAAGCGTTAATGAGACTCTGTGGTCCGAGGGTTTCGGGATGCAGCCGCCAGATGGACCTTGTCGCTTTGTTTACTCTCACAATGTCACCTTTCCTAGTTCTTCACAGACTTCCAGCGTCATTAGTTTCCTTGTCTGCTGTTGTTAGGTTGAAGATAATGGCCCTAAAACGATTTAAATTGCCGTTCCACGGAAAAGTCAACTCGAGTACAAGATGTTGCAGACTTTGTGCAGCACATTCAGTAATATGATGATCTTCATTGTCTGCCCTCTTTTGTACAGTTGGAGTAAATTGCAGTCAGAGTCGCTGATTCATGATTACTAATCAAATGCAAATGCCCTCTTCCCCATTTCCCTGGTGACAAGCACTCGAGACCTCTGCAGAGTAGATTAAAGACCTGTAATCTTGTCTTTTAGTCAGCCGAAACCAGGGGCCGACAACATGAACGACACAATGCTCATGTCCTCTGGGGCGCCCACTCCTACCCAAAGGTAAGCACCAAGGCATAAAGCACTTTTTGATTTGAAGATATTTTTCCACAATTCACTCTGTGCTAAGAATAGGTGACAGAAATCAGCGTGAAGTTATTTGTTCCTTCACACACGTTTTTGCATTCGATCAGCATGCCCTTGCAAGTGTATTTTTAGAGAAAGATTTGTTGCGCTGTCGCGAGGAATATGTGAGCACTCCTACTTAAAGGATTTGACAAATAGATCATGATAGAACTGGAGCCTGATCATGAAAGCAGGCAAGGGCGAAAAAAGCAGCCTAATTGTCTTCTCATTTCACCCTCTCAGTTAAAAGCCAGCTCTCTTATTATTTACTCACAGTGGTAATGAACCATTGTGGTTAGGAATTACAATGGAGAGCACTTTGAAGCAGCTTTAATGCATCTGTCCTGCAAGTCTGTGCAGGATGAATTCATCCGTTTGTGTGGATGTGTATCACAGTACACATCTTTCAGGCAATTTCTGTTTGCAAGATGGGACTGTTAAGGACTCAGGTCTTCACACGGCACATTAACAAGGAGGACACGTCACTGTCTGGTGTGCGGAAAGAATAAAAGTGTGCACATCAAACCCGTTTAAGATCAGGTGTTTGATTAAAATCCAGACAGAGGCTTTGATAGATAATTCAGAAAGAGCTTCAATGAGGGCTGGGACTTTTTATTTCTCACTTTTGCTCTTCTGGGACCTCTGCAGCTGAAGGGCAGCATGCAAAGAATGTCCACAGCAGTACGACTGAACTTTAAATGTGACTTAGAGATCATGCCGATATCCCATTACTTCTCTCTGTTTCATTACAAGTATAATGATCTAACCTTGCTGGAAGATTTCTGTGTTTGGTGAAATGAGATGCTAACAATCGATGCTAGATTAAATGTCTTGCAGAGATGAACATTTTGTGCAGCTCAGTCTCGTCTCAGAGGGCTGACAGTATCAAGATTAGAGCGAGTTTAAGGGAAGCTGACAGGATAGGGACACCCGAGGCGGTAAGCGATGCCTTGCAGCCAAACCCGTGGAGGTCAGTGAAGGCATCACATGTGGCGGCACGTACAAGAGCAAGACAACGCTCTCCTGAGGTTTCTTCAACTGTGGCAGTGATGACGGACCCTGATAACCTTTGTCTTGACATTTTGCTCTGTGAGTCAGAGCTGCTTTGAGAAGATGTCATGCACTGACGATGCCGTTGCCTTCGGGTGGCATAACAACTACAAAGTTACCATATTTAGGGCAGAATTTGCACATTAAGCCAGCGTGACGCTTCCAAAATAGGTTGCGTTGAGAGTCAGTGTGGATACCGGTAGATAAAGTGGCGAACGAGCAAGCTTTACTTAAGTTGCAGAGAACAGAAGGCCAGCAGCCTCTCACTGTGTCACATTTGGTTTGTAAATATTAATATAATTACCCGGCACAAGGGCCTGTGAGTCAAACATGCTGCTGCTGAATAATGCAGAGCTGCTTGTGGCTGTGACTCAGTTCAAGAGCCTCACACTGAAACGAAGCGGCAGCGGTCGTGTCCTTGTTTTTGACCCTTTCAGACTCAGAGAAAAAACCCATGAATGATCGTGTGCTCTCAGCCTCCATCACAGTCTGCTCTCTGGTACCGTCTGCTCTGCTGACTTGGCACCGTCCCTCCCTCTTCTCTGTCTCTCTCTCACAGACAATTGCTCACCATGAGCCTGCCTCCAAGTGCGAACTGCAATTTATTACCTGTTAGTCATGCAGAACCACGGCGACAGAAGATAGAAAGAAAAAAGAAAGAAAATGCTGTCTTGAGCTTGACGAGTTTTAATTCAGAGTTACTGAGAATTGTAATGTAAGTCAGTGAGGAAACCCAGCAGTGTGTGTTCAGAATTATTACTAAAAACTCCTAAAATATGTTTATTTTTAGAGAAAGTTTAGATTAAATCATTATGGGATTTTCCCTCTCCTGTAATGTGTTATGTTTTGTGCATGTAGATAGTCTGTAAAAGCTAAAGTTCCCACCAGAGGGAGTTTTCTCACGGAGAAACGCCTCCGTTGGACTCTTTGTTTACTTGCGTAACATAATGACATCACTATGTAACAATCACGCTTCTATTGGCTAGCTCTTACATTTATTGTACGCGATAGGCTAAGGGGGGGGGGAAGTATCTAACCGATCATAACAGTGTTGTATTTTTGGCACTATATAGAAATTAAACATTGGTAAAAATTCAAATGAATGCATGGATAAATAAATTATAAATAAATGTTTCTACATTGTGATGTAACATGAGGCCAACGATTGCAGTGGTGATACAAAATTAAAGCACAATAACTGAGTGACAGTCAATGGAATAAATTGTACAAAAGAGATGAAGATCATGGCCGATTTCCAAAGCAGTTGTAAAAGGTCATATTGACAGCAAATCAGATCTGAACCCCTAACTAAAGAAATATCTAAAGTCACCAGATTGAAATGACACAGACATTGTTAGATAAGATTGCAAGCTTTGTTACTGATATTGTAATAATTCTTGTCAATAAGTCCTTCCAATATTGGCGTGTAGTTAGTCTTTAGAAATAAATTGAATATATCCTGCATCAGAGTAAGAAAACATACAGCTGTTCATAGAGCAAACATGTTGCCCAATTCGATTAACAACTTCCAGATGTTGATCAAATCGAATCTCTGGCTTCCTTAAGTTTTTACCATTAGTTAAAGTGTGATCAGGCCATTCAGAACACAGCGTTTAAAAAGCATGGTCTGTCATATTTCTGACAGAATTTGAAGCACTGATTGCGTTTGAGTCAAAAATAAATTGGTGCTATCTTCAAACGTGAGACCAAAATAAAAGTATCCGGGAGAGATGCCAGATCAGGAGGGCTTGGAGGCAGTGCAAGCATCTCTGTTCAAACCCAGGAAGCTCCCTGATGGAGCAGCTCCAACTCTGAGAGCTCTAAGATCCAGACAGGCAGCCCGGCTCCAAACGACCTCATGGGGTCACAGCGTTTCCTGAGCCAACCCCGAGCAGCTCCCTGATGTCGTTAATGTATTACTTCCATTTAACAAGACACCTCAGGCTCTACGCCTTAACCTGAGGTTAGGACTGTAAATTATTTAGAAAGTGTCCCATTTTTTTAAAAGACATTTATTTTGAGTCGGGTGACACTATCTTAAAACAAGTCGAGTGATCCGCAGAGTATTTTAAGATATCATCAAAGAGCTAATAAAACCCTTGAAACAAGCGAAGTAGGAGCCGAGGACTAAAACAATCTCATCTCACAGACAGCCTTTTTATCTGCTTTGAGGAAAGATAAGATTTTATTGCAATTGTGGATTAAAAAGGCTGGTTTGCAGGGTGTTGAGGGCCGGGGGTAGTCTCCGTTGCAGGTTGGTGATGCAGTGGTGTGAAGCCAGATTGGGTTTAATGGCCTTAATCATCACTCACTCTCCACTCAGAGTTGGATTCCCCATCTCAGCTCTCCTTCACTCTTCATTGCAGACCGCCTGCCGTGAAGGGACAGCATATGCCATGATCGCTTAATGTCTCACGCCTTATTTGACATTTCATGTTAGTGATGAGATGGTCAGAGCAGCCATTGGCACGGACACACGATTCTAAGTCTTCCATCCCAGGTCATCGTAATAACCAATTATCCCAGACTGTCTATCAACAAACATGAAGGTCACCTCAACCATTAAGTCTCATAATTACTGTACAAACTTTCCCGTGTACTAACATAAGAGCTCTGTCAGTGTTTCTGTGTGTATGTGTGTGTGACGTATCTCTCTGTCTCTGACTCAGTGTCTTGGAGAGTCCCAGTCGGCTGGATGAGGAGCATCGCCTCATCGCTCGCTACGCCGCCCGCCTGGCAGCCGAGGCGGGAAACTCCACAGTGAGTGTTATTGTTCAGAGCTTCTTTGTAGCTCATCCTTATAAAAGTGATCTGATGAGTTTAGTGGATATGTCTCAAAAAGTCATAAATGTATTATTATTTTCTACTTTCAATGAGTAACGTCTTTGCTCTGACACGTCTCCACCAATGCATGTGTTTTTCCATGTGTATATTTCGTGTTTAATCTATGTAGGTCCTGTTTGTGCATCTGTGTACAGTATTAGAAAACTTTTACAGGATACACAAATTCTGCCTAAATCTACTTCTTCTAATCCAAACTACAGTCCTGACCAATCCCACATAGTTTCACTGTAGTCTTTTTATGAAAAACATATTTTTGGTGCAGAAAAAATAAGCCTGTTTTTGCCCCATGCCGCAAATATAAGACGATGGTTTAAGCTGGTGGGAAATAGTTAAAAGTACCTTGAAAACAATAAATATCAAAGACCAAATACACATTTTGAACGGTCTTTGATAAAAAGCAGACGGTAGAAGCTTGTGTAGATAACGTTTTCAGGAGAGAAGTTACACGACTACAGGCAGAAAATGTTCTTATAGGGTGACTTTGGGTTTATTTGGATTTGGTTTTTCATTCCGTTATATGGAGGGATAAAGGAAAGCTGATGAAATAGTTTCCTGTTTATGCAGAAACATAATACGTCTCCACAAGGGTGTAACTTTGGTTGGTTTGGTTAAGTGGGGGGGGGGGACAAAACAGGGGGTCCACCGCAATGAAACATTGTTCTCGATTTAATTCCATTTCCTGCCTATCAATATATTAGGGACTATGGTGTTAGCTAATCCAAGAAAAATGTGTAGTGCAATGAGTGCACCATGTGAGCTTGTTTTATTTGTGATGACTAACTCTAGGGGGGGGCTTCTAATCTCGTAGCGCCGAAATAAGAACAACCATCGCGCGTAGAGAGAGAGAGAGAGAGAGAGAGAGAGAGAGAGAGAGAGAGGAGAGAGAGAGAGAGAGGAAGAGAGAGAGAGAGAGAGAGAGAGCGATGAGAGAGATGGAGAGAGGAGAGAGAGATAGAGAGGGAGGTGGAGACGAGAGAGCGAGATAGAGAAGATAGCGAGCGATCAGGCTGATCGCTAAGAGAGTCTCTCGTCGCGTCTCCTTCTCGCTATCTTCGCTCTCGCACTTATCGCCTCTCTCTCTCTCTCTCTCTCTCTCTCTCTCTCTCTCTCTCTCACTCTCACTCTCACTCTCACTCTCACTCTCACTCTCACTCTCAACACTCTCACGCTAATAATAAACACATTTGAAAAGTGGGGGGGACACAAACGGGATTTTGAAAGTGGGGGGGACATGTCCCCAGTGGAAATTACGCCCATGCGTCTCCAGCGGAAAGTCATTACTGCTCGCTGTGGTCTGACAGAAACTGTTGGTGTTTCCACTGTTGTTCTCTCACTGTTCTTACTCACCGTTCTTAATGCCATTCTATGCTAATGTTGGTTTTTCAGCAACAATGTCCTCCGACAGATTTGGGTTTCAACTTCGATGCCAACAAGCAACAGAGACAGCTGATCGCAGAGCTGGAGAACAAAAACAGGTCAAATATATAATTTCAACACTTTACAAATCTGTGCTGTGTTACCGGGTGGTGGGCTGGCAGGGTTTTTTTATTTGTTCAAAAAACTCTACTTTTACTTTTCTAAATGTTCTAAGAAACTGTACTTTAGAATCTGAATTTATACTTAAATCTACTATTTTTCACTCCACTACATTTATCTGACAACTTAGATACATTGCAGATTCAGATTTAACATGCAAAACATACCATAAACTCATAAAACATGATGAGAAGAAAGAAGCCACTCCAGTAAATACAGAGCTAATCGGTGGGTTTAGCTTTGCATTAGGAATAGAAGTGTTGAAGTGTAAAAACAGCATGTTGGGGTATTACGATGCGTTATGTGACAGATTATATTATGGGAGATGGTTCATATTTCCCAAAATGTCAGAATATGCCTTTATAAAATTAGCTCTAGTTATACCAACTAAAAGCTCCGTGCTGTACTTGATAATACATACAATCAAATATTCCCAAAACATTTTATATTGTGAAACACTGTGAAAGCATTAATTATGCATTGCATTTTTCTTTGTAACTTTTGGTGCCAATTTGCGGTAGTTGTGACCATGTACATGCTGCCTCCACACACTCACATTCACACACACAGAAACTCAAAAATATGTGATCTCCATGGAAGATGATATCCTCCGAGTGCAAAACACTTGACTGCTTAAGGGTGGGGAAAGTATTATGGGACGGAGCCATAAAGCTGCTGGTTGGGGCATGTTTTTTAGGCTGTTTCTGTCAATGTACTCAAGTCCAATTTTGAGTGCAATATATTCATTCTAACTTATTTTCATGTCTTCTCCTGAAGTATTTTCTCCACTACTGCTCTTAAGTGAAATGATTGTCTTGCTCCTCCAGAGAGATCCTTCAGGAGATCCAGCGGCTGCGTCTGGAGCACGAGCAGGCGTCCCAGCCGACCCCAGAGAAAGCCCAGCAGAACCCCACGCTGCTGACAGAACTGCGGCTCCTCAGGTATAAACCTTACTTACGCTAACACCAAACACCTCGTATGAGAGCAACTTCAGTCCATCAACAGGATCAAAGAGCCATATATTAACACAATTAAGTTGTAAAACACTTTGGGGTTAATGTGTTAATTCACGCTGGACTCATTCTTCAAGGAGAACATTATTTTCTGGTAATTCAGGAGGGTGTTTTTGAATGAGCCGGCAGCAGCATTGGTCACGCTGGCAGACCCCTGGGTCCAGTTGTTGGAGGAGACTCACCCAGAGAGGACGCGTTACGGAGCAGAATGACGACTTGTTTTTCTGGCAGGGCCTTAATAATTCATCAGCAGTCAAGTTTATGATGAGCAGCAGTGACAAGGACTTACATTTTATATTAAGGTAATGTTTAATACCATCATTAATTATTAGCTGGGCCGTTCGTTGTATGCAGACAAAGCACAATTAGAGATGCATTTGAATTACATTTTCTCACTGGCATGGTAAAAGATTGATATATGTAGAGGAATATAATTATGTTGGTGTTTTAAAACATAACACTTTTCACGTAAAAGTATTGCTTTATCAGTTGAAGACGGTGTTTGTCTACTTATTATATCTCCCAGTTGAATTCAAACATGTTTAGAAACACCTTTTAAGCCTGTTTTTGATGCAGGTTTTTGAACTGGATATCATCACATAGTAATATTTATCACAGTTTTTTTTGCTCGGCTAGACGGCTCTGATTTGCATGTTTTCAGCCTGAGGATGCAGAACAGAGCAGATGTGTTTACAGTCTACAGCTTTTGATTGGAGGACTCACGACAACAGACAAATGATTGCTAGAGCTCTTTGAAGGTTTTTCAAAATGCAGTTGCTCTTTGTGAACACCAGAGGGTAATACAAAGACAGAATCCACACCAGATATTTAAAAGGCGGTGTCAAAGTAAAACTCTCTTTGGGCCAAAAAAGAAATGACATGTTTTGCATTCTCAAGCTAAGAAACAAGTATTTCCCTTTTCTAGTATATTCATGAAGAACATCAGCTGTCTTCTTGCAGATGAGTAATAGTTGCAGTAAATCATTAAAATAGCACTGCGGGTAATGGGGTTCGTGTTTATTTGTCAACTGTACTAAGAAAACACAGTATTTTACATGTCTGTTTGATATCTGTGCGAAAACTAATAAAAAGATTTATAAAAAACAAAAAAATAGCACTCCTCACTTGAAACTGCCAATGCTCCAGGTCAACACTTTTGATTTATAAATAGACTTTTCCCCCCTAGTAATTTGGTTACAGTCAAAGTATGTATGTACAGTACTGCAGCTAGGTGTAACTTGTCAATGTTAAATGTAGGAAAAGAAAAAAAAATCGATCTTTTATGCACACAAATTGCATTCCTGCTGACAAAAGTGTTAGTGATAGCTGGCAATAATTATTATTTTCTTAAATAATAACTTGCGGGACAGATTAGACACATCGGGGGGCTCTATAAGACTCTCTTGTCGGACATATTCCGGCCCCTTCCTGGAAATGTGGGATCCCTGCTTTAGGATGACCAGGTGTGAAGCGCATGTCACTTTTTACACCAGTGAGTGATCACTGACTTATATTTTCAGTAAAATATATATATATGTAACAGTGTCATTGATACAGGTAAAAATACTTGACAAAAACGTGTATACTTGACCAGAGCCACAGGAACTGATGCAAATACAATTTGACTACATATACTGTACACAACCTGCAGTGTCTGAATCTGATCCTTGAAATATTGATCCGTATAGAAAGTCACCCCATTACACACCTGTAACACTTTTCCCCAAAACGATGTAAAAGAGTAAGATGTCTACCATTGTGTTTTATGATTGCTACCTTGTCTTCCCTTGTGTTTTAATGTATGCATCCCAAACTCTGTGCAGACACAGGAAGGACGAGCTGGAGCGGCGCATGTCGGCGCTGCAGGAGAGCAGGCGGGAGCTGATGGTGCAGCTGGAGGGACTCATGAGGCTGCTGAAGGTAAGACCCTCATCTGTTTCTACAAGAATTAGGTGTGATAACTCTGATTCTGAATATCCTGCTCTACGGTGCTCTATGGTTCTTAAACAGTAAGTCAAGTTACAATAACATGTGCTTGATTGTGCTTTAAAGCGTGGTGGAATGTTGGTTAAATGAAATGTTGCCATGTTGGATTATTTGTTCAATTATGTTAAATAGCCGTATGCATGGAAAAACCCTTTTCTTCTTCTCTTTCTTCTTCTGTTGCTTTAATTCTGTTGCTCTCACTCTTCTTGCTCTCTCTCACTGCTTACCTGTGCTGGCTGATAGGATGAGGAGCAGAAGCAGGCTGTAAGTTGCCTTTAATTCAGTTTGAGCCTCAATACCTGGCTTTAGCCTCAGCACTCAGTGTAATGCAACTACATCAGGGAAAGATAATAGGACTCTGCAATCTAACTGGGTTACACTGATGTAGTCCTCTTATTCAGGGTACTCCACCATGCTGGAGCTAAAACCGCAGACTGTGAAGCAATCCTTAAATCTCAGGTCCTCAGTCCAAACAAGTTGAGAGAAGTGGGTTTTTCTTGGCCCAGGTGTCAGGGATCTTTTCCTTTCATCGGCACTAACAACCTCCCGTCTAATGTGACTGCAGTCTGGCCGGCCATCTGCTGCCTGGCTGCCAGCCATCGACCTGGTCTCACTACACCAGAGATGCACAGTGATCCTTTCTGAGGATATATCTCTCCTCTCAGCACAGGCCCTGGTCACTTACACCCACACATGGTTCTCATTACTCCTATACGCAGTAAAGGTGCACTATAGACACAGAGTATAGCCGGCCAGTATGGGCTTTCCTAAAGGTTTTCCTGCCATTGTTTTTGTTTGTTCTCCCCATAAGGATTAAGTTATTTCGACCACATCTGTGTCTCGGATTGTTTTAATATAAGTCACCTTTAGAAGCAAAAAGGTCTTCCCAAAGCTGCAATCTGTGAGTGCAATACGGCGGCGTTATTTCATGTGGGGATTAATCTGTTTTTTTCTTTCTATCAGAAGCCCATTTTCCCTAAAGTCTTTCAGATGGAAGATCATTTAGTTTGTCATGTAAATAAGTAAATATGCCATGTTATCTGCTAACTGAACCGAAAAAATATGCCTAGAAATATTGGTTAGCTCGTCTTCATGCACCTGTCAAGGTCAAACACATAAAAACAGTGCATATCTCTAATTCATTTGATTCTAAAGTATATATGTGCTGATACAAAGTAAGATTGTGGCCAACTCACTAACATGTTTCAGCACAACTCCCCCGGAATTTTCGAGCAAATAGGCATCATTTTATTTAAAGGTCCCGTGTCATGGCCATTTCTACTGATCATAATTCCATTGTTGAGGTCTACTAGAAGAGATTCACATTGTTCAATGTTCCAAAATCACATTGGTTTCTCATACAGCGTCTCTGTATAGTATGTGTATTCACTCTCTGTCCTAAACGGCTTGTTGGAGCTCCTGCCCCCCCTCCCTATGAGCCCACTGTGCTCTGATTGGTCAGCTCGCCCACTCTGTTCTGATGAGTCCACCACCTTTACAGCGGAACATCAGTGATTATGTTTTACAATGGCGTTTGTTAGCAACCACAAAATGACACCAGTAATGACAAACAGATGAGAATGCTGCGAGGGGTCTGGGTGCCGTGTTGGCGGGACGTTGCGCGGCTCGCTGCTGAGTGTGTGTGTGTGTGTGTGTGTGTGTGTGTGTGTGTGTGTGTGTTTGTGTGTGTGTGTGTGTGTGTTGAGGAAGTGGACCAATCCGCGGAGCTGTTACGTCACGGTGACCCTTACGTCACTACGACCAGGAAGAAAAAAATGGAAAAAGAGAAATGTCCAACGAGGCGTTCTGGGGCAGCACAGACGGGTCTTTTCTGTGTTAGAGTTTTACTCGCTACAGGGTGTACTTTGAGGGTTTGTGACTCTGCAGACCGTTTACATGCATAAAAAGCTACATAACACACAAGGGGACGGGTAATAACCGGAAAAGCATGACATGGGACCTTTAATATGGGATTACCTGATTTAAGTTGTATAGAAATAGTAGGACATTTTAGGAAACATACCTAGCTGAGACAGACCATATTCATGTATGTATGGTAAATGTGAGTGAAAGCAGCGGGAAAGAGCCTCCCTCTGTCCTGACTCCTGAGCCAACAACAACTGCATACTATCATATCTAAAGCTCACACATTATCAAGTTACATTTTGTTATTTAATCAGTAGAAAAACAGAAGTGGTGGTTTTACAAGAATGGCATCAATCTTTTCATCCAACGCTCGGCATGGAAGAAAATAACCCTATTTCCCCAAATGTCCAGCTTTTACATAACAGTACAGCTACGATGACGACATTCTAAAGGTTACATTGTGTTTATGGCGATACTGTAACTATCACGGTGTTTGTATGTTGCAGTCGCAGTCTGGAGGCTCCCCTCACTCCTCCCCCAGCCACGGGGCGGGCTGCTCCATGCCGATGCCCATTCGCTCCACCTCGGCTGGGTCCACCCCCACCCACACCCCACAGGACTGCCTGGCCGGCGTGGGGGGCGACGTGCTCGAGGCCTTCGCTCATGGTGAGTGGGCACCAACTAGACTTAACTTTCAGAAAACTGACCAAACCTTCATATTATAAACCTGAACTTTTGAAAGAACATCCATAACATTCATATGTTTGCAACTTATATATATCAATAAGATAAGATAAGATAAAATAGGGCTGTATTCATCCCGAAGGAAATTGTTGTGAAAATACAATAAACACAGCAGCACAATAATAATAAAACTGTACACTAACAGTGCAGTAAAAAGAGCAATTCAATAACTACAGGAAACATAGATGGTCACATAATTAATGTAAATATTAACATTATTTAGTATAGTGCAAAAAAAACGTAGTGGTAGTTACGTAATTGAACGTACCTTCAAAAAACTCACCTCTTCAATCTGGCTTTTAATGTGTGATTATTTTTGTATTATTTGACTTTAACTATATATTTATTTGTTGTTCCTTCCTTTTCTTTTCTCTTCACTACAGTATATCTATAAAGCGTCTTTGAGCACCTGTAAAAGCGCTAACAAATTAAATCTATTATTATTTATTATTATTATGTACAAATGACAATAAAAGCCTTGAATCTTGAATCTATTATACTTATCACGATATTGCAGTAATTCTACCACCAGGCAGTGTTGGAATTTAAAGAACATATATTGAATTAGTCTACTATAATACTTATACTTCACTACATTTCTCTGTTTCCCAGGTGTACCTAGAAATCTTCGTAATGATCTATTAGTTGCTGCTGACTCAATCACAAACACCATGTCGTCGCTGGTGAAAGAGCTCCACTCGGGTGAGTCTGTTGCACCTGGTTCATAATGTCATATCATCTGAATATGTGTTGTGTTAACATGTAACTGGAACTGCAATCGGTTTCATTTTTTAAGTTGATGACGTGGCCTTGGAAGAGGATACGAACATGAGGAACGGTGGGGACAGAAGTAAGTCTAACTACATGCTAATTGTTCACTACTATTAGTTGTTTAGAGCCATAGTCATTATATGTATACAATCCTACCACTGCGAAGTATTGTTTGAGAAGATACCAAGCAGTAATAATAATTTAAGCAATCATTTCAACTGTTCAAAGATAAACAAGGTTCAAAGTTCATGGTATACAGAACCGATATAGTGATTATTGCCTTTTTGTAAGAGATTTTGTGAAAGGGGGAAGTAGAAATGTGAGTATGGCACTCAAATACAAAATGTATGTCTTTTGGGTAATCGTAAAAATTGGCCTAAATATAAACGTGGAGTATTTTCTTCAGCTGAGGCAGAATGATCAACAAAAAGTGGGAGTTATAATTCATTCATAATATATTAAGCAAATACTACACAGTTTGGCAGCTGTGGATATAACGATTTCATTGAGATTAAAATATCAAAATGAAATTGTCATGATAATGGGTAAACAAGTTGTTATTTCAAAACAGAAAACAAACAGATTGTGAAAAAATAAAGGCAGTTTGAACATGTTAATTATCCATTAATAGTTATGTTGAGTTAAAGAGATAATTAACCCGTCATCGCAAAACAACCTGCTGTTTGCCTCTTTGGAAACACCAGCTTGTTTTCTAAATATACCAAGATAATTAACCTGCCATCATTTGAAAATGTCATCCTGCTATAAGGGGGAGATGAACTCACGATCTCAAGATAATTAAATCAAATGATTGCAACAACAGCTGTTAATAATATTTGTATAGTAACAAGTTGCCTGAAGTACAGTAACTAGACGAACAGAAGTTGCGGCTCATTATGAAAGCGTTGTTTCTTCGTCTGCTAGAGTGGAAGAGTTGGCTGCACTTTTATCACACCTTTATCAGCCAATAAAAAAACTTGTTTCGCTTTTTTATAATGAGCGTCTGCCACAGCCCTCCATCCAAAGCAGCGAGGCATCATGGCACATTGCCCCAGAGTCAGTTATACACTCTTCTGTCTGTCTGTGTTTCCAGGCACATTGAGAGTACAGAAGCACTGAGGAAACACAACCACCTGCAAGGACAAACAGTCAACAACTGGGAAGTATCAGTAACAACAACAATAACAACAACAACAACAAGCCCTGGCATTAGCACGTAGAGTAATGCATGCTGTAATCTAACAGGATTTCACTATGTGAAGAAAAAAGGCGTCTCTTCTCTTCACACCTTGCAGGTAGCAAGATGTGTCTAATTAGCGAGTGTGTATGTTGTCCTGTAATTAATTAATGATTTCCCTCATGATGCTAAGGAATGGCTTGCTGTGCTTCCCCCCCCCCCCCTCCCCCAAATGTCCCATGGCAGCAGATCTTTCTGTAAATAAACACTGTAAACACAAGACCACAGGAAACGCCCCGACGTGAACGTGACCACATGTTCCCTTTTATTGGTTTTGTATCATTAGCGCTAGTGTTTATCTTACTTTTATTTATAATTTTTGCATGAAGTTGCACTTGTGTCTGGATGTAGGTACTGTACCAAGCTATGGCAGCTCTCTGTGGGTTTTCATTGGTGTCAAGAGTGTCTCCGAGTTCACACAGAGTTTGTTTACCTGCACATCCATATTCTAGAATTCGTTTGTAAAAGCAGAATCCTGGATATGCCCCGGTTTCTAATATTTTCAAATCTTTACTTTGTGACAGCTGAATAAGATTAGCATGGCAGTGAAGACTCAAGGAAGCAACTGTGTTTGGCTTGTCAGCTTTCTTACCAAGAAGTACAAGAAATCTATACACTAAATATGAAGCTTTTACGAGCAGCTATTTTGCCAACCTTAGCTAAAAGCATTGAACAGATAACTTTGCTCTTTCCAAAAGGTAACAAAATCGACCTTCCTGCACCTCTAAAACTCTCTAAGTCTAAGTAAGGATGTGCAACACAGTCTCACGGCATTTCGTGTTATAGTCACGAAATTAATCTATTGATTCGTGTTCACCAACACCATTTCCCCATTTTTTTCGTGTCACACAGAACGATTTTAAAAGCAATGTAAATAATAACAAATTAGAAGGAAAAAGATATTTAAAAAAATACAGATTTCAGTATTCTGACACACAACGATTTTAGAAGCAATGTATTTATATTGGTAGTTCAGGCCTGCACCAAATAATAACAAATTAGAAGGAAAAATAGAGATTTCAGTATTCTGAGCCCCATTTCTTTTCCTCGCGGACGGCAAAAAAACTCCGACATTATAAAATATAAAATAAAAGGGTTAGGGTAAGATATTGCCCCACACAGATATTAAGTAAGAAAATGTTTTTATGAACCACACAGCTTCCGGTCTTCCAAGACCCGACCGGACAAAAAGACGTGGTGCAGGCACGAAACACACTACCAATAGAAATACATTGCTTTTAAAATCGTTCTGTGTGACACGAAAAAAATGCGGAAATCGTGTTGGTGAACACAAATTAATAGATTAAATTAATTTCGTGACTATAACACGAAATGCCGTGAGACTGGGATGTGGTGATATATGTTATTATAGTATACAGAACATATTATGAAACAATACAAGCTATCGAGAATACTTTGTGCATGTAAACAAACTCACTAGAGTCACTACTGTACTGCTGCTATACTGGGCTCTCAGTGAGCCACCCCTGCAAATAAAGGGCTGTGCGATCAAAAGAAACTAAGAGGCTACGACAAACACAATAATGAGTCTCGTTGTTTTACTCCGCAAAAAATGTACTGAACACCTGACAGCTGACAGCCTCAGTATTTAATGTTTAAGTGTAGGGAAGCACCTCAGGATAACAATGAATTAGGCGTTTAGTTTTAGTTACAATATGCAGGATACAGGATGTAAGGATGTAAGGTTGTAGCAAGTAGGACATGCTTTGAAAGCTTTATTTAGTTATCAAAGGAATATTAAAAATATTTATGTGCAATGGTGGTAGGTGCTCAGGGACTGCAGAGCTACTATAGCTGATATATAGCGGTAATGTCCTTTAACTGCTACACATTAGGAGGTTAACGATCAATGATCAGTACAAATTGAGGGTTTCATTCCAAACACAATGTTTTTACACAAAGAAAACCTTTTGTGATCCTTGTTGTGGGATTAAGTCAAAACGTGCAAAAGTAGTTCATTTGACTCTAATTTAACTTATACATTTGTCTTGGAATAAAACTCTTTAAATATCTAAAGGAAAACAGCAAGTGATTACCGCTGGTTAAAGAATGTGGCTTAAATGCTATTTGGTGAAGCATGTTGTTGGATAGTTTGTCTGTGTGTGAATTAGTGTATTTCACAGGAAATCAAAGAGAGGATTTTCATTGGGTCTAAATAACATTATTTTTGTCCTTCAGGATAAAAGATTTGAAATGTTTTTTTTTGTGAATTCAATGTGATAAAGGTCTAGGGAAGTATTAGTGTGAAATGCGCAGAAAGGAAGTCAATCGGTCTGAATCGAGCTGAAAACATTATTTTGAAATCTGTCCAGTAAGCCTATCCTATAAGCGAAGTAAAAGGTATCGACAACCTGCTACACTGTGTCAAGAAAAATAACAAAAAGAGGCTCGTCTGTTATTTTAAATGTGATGTTTTTATTCAGTTCTGCTCTGTTATTATCGTTTAGTATTAGTGGAGTACAGTCAGTGTAATGTCAAACAGAGATTCACATGCATACTCGCCAAAATACGAAGAAAGTACAGCATTTTAAATTCTGTGACCTCTAATGACAAAGTTTGTTCAGTCGGAAAGGGTCCAGTAAATACTTCAAATGCAGAAGTAAAGATTTAAAAAGTGACTGTCTTGCCCTTCATTCTTTCAGTTTGTGCCTGTAGCTGTTTGTAAAGTGCTGTACAAAGTAACCATTCAGCAGATAAGATGATCCATCAGCTTTTATGTCTGTGACTGTAGATATTTTTATTTATTGATTTAATGTGTTATGAGGGGGAAACTCATGCTCAGCCTTTACATGTGTGCCAAACTGTTTGTGTGTCATACAAAGTACAGGTATATATCAAAGTATATCTGCGTTGGTATGTTGTTGTTGCCCATCGTTTATTCACAGACTACCCGGAGGTGTTATTGGTTTCCTGCTGGAAAACATTTAATAATGACAGACGACACATTCCAGATCGACTGATAGGCTCACGGATGTCATTAAATGTGGAGGTAATACAAATAAAAGCATCCATTGTGATCCTGTTATTGTTTGCAGAGAGACAATGTGCAAAGAGCAACAACGCCCCCCCCGATGTTATTTGTCTATGTCTGTGTTCTGTACGGTTACGCTTCTGCTACACATTTGTTTCTCGTGTTGATTTTACAAAAACATAGTTTTATGCCACAAAGCCACTGTCTTTTGTAAATAAATCAAATGTGAGATATATTAAAAATATTTAAAATATGGCTTCTTCTGGTCGTGTCATGATTGTTGGTGTATTTTTTATTAATTAATACTTAAATGCCCTATATCATATAACATACGACACATATGTATTAGTTCCTATAACATTTAACTGTTACAAACACATGTGAGTAACTGACTGAACTAAAATATCACAGATGTTGTTTAAAGTTAAAGGTGGCCAATAAAAAAGATTGATTGGTCATTTATTAGCATTTGAAAATAAGAAGGAACAATTTGGAAGTACTTTTAATTGAGACTTAATTTTTTTTAAGTTCAAATATATTTCTTTTAGCAGAATATTACACTTTTACATTTTTTTAAGACATTTGCAAGTTGCTTTTTCATGGTTGCATACTAAACTACATAATACTTTGTGAGTGACACAAATCTAAACAAATATTTATATAAAAAAATATTCTGTGTTACATTGACATTGATTAAACTACACAGAAGTATAACATAAAATAAACCTTTTATAAATGTGTTTTCATAGTCTGGTCTGACATGTGGAATAGATATGAATGTGTCCATTGTTTATTTGTCGGTCAGTCATTGTGCTTGTCTTCAGTTCAAAGACCTCATGCTCACATTCTAGTCAAAATGGTTTGTTTCTTACAAACAAATAGGTAAATGAAAACCTTAAATCCTATCTCTCTTATTTCTCACAAGCTTCATCTTTTTCATCTTCGTGAAAACACACAACTTCCTCCCAACATGTCAGAAACCAATGCCTTTCCTGTATCACCTACAAAGCTACATCAAAGACTCTTTTTCTGCTGCTTCAGGCACCAACAGTGATAAAAACCACACAAGTGAGATGAGGTCGGACCCACTATCATCACACACACACACACACACACACACACACACACACACACACACACACAGTCAGTCCTCTTTAGGGTCATGCTGATGCTGCTCTGTCCTCACATGAACCTCTGACTGAAAGAGGAGATGCGGCTGCTTCCAGATCAGTGAACCACATCCGCCTGCTGCACACACATTTCCTCTCTCCCTCATTGCCCCTAAAGAGCTCTCAATCTGCCTCACGGGGAGCTCTCCGTGAGTCTTTAATCCTCCTGCGTCTGCAACATTTACCTCTCTGTGTCTCCGACTAGTGGGCGTGTGCAGGATGAGTGCAGGCTGGCTGCTGCAGGGTTAATGGACTGAATGTGATAAAGAGATTTCCTATCTTGTCCTAGCTGCACTCTGGGAAATGAAATGAAGATGTGCTGCTAGAGGACGATCCTGCTCAGAGGATAACATCTAAAAGAGATGAGCTTCATGCTACTGTACATCCGATTTGATTTAAAGCAAACCAACTGAATAACCAAGTGCACCCAGGAATGTGAAATGATCTACTTGAGAAAGTCCAGTGCTGCTTTTTCAAATATGTTTGTTAATAAGAAACGTGTCAAATGGTTTCAAACATATCTATATTTATCTTTTTCTATTCATACAGTACCATTATGTTGTTGTAAGACACTCAAATTGTGCAGAAATCTCCTTTATGCCAGTGTTTGCATCCCTTACTTGTATACTATATGCTTCTAAAGTTAAACAGATGCATATTTTGAATTTTATTCTAAACATGCATCTATTTGGAAAGATAAAAAAGTTACAATACATTTTTTTTTATAAAAGCAATAATACTGGAGAAACAAGTGACAAAGACACAAATCCATCTCTTTGTGCAT